GGAGGGACAGGGCTATTTCTGCAGTGGTCTCCATTACGTCACTTAGAAACCATAGCTCTTTTTTAGTTCTTTACTTGCAACCACAGGGCTGTGTCCTCTGATGGAGGCTTAGGTTTTATTTAATAGCCATTTGTTACCATCTTTCCTGTATTTGATGATCCATGACTCCAGCCATGTTTTTCTCCTCCCCTGGTTATCAGAGGAAATTGATTTGCTGCTCCTCTTCTTGGTGGGACATTTCATTCTGCTGTTTTTATTTAATATATGATCCTTCCTAAAGATTTGCTTATAATTTTATTCACTTAGTATTTCTTCTGTTTCATTTAATCACGTCTAGTGAGTTGGTTATTACAAATCAGTATAATATTTTGTGTGGATTTCGCTTTGGCTATAATATTGCAGAATAGGCTGTATGTCAGTCTTTGCTATTTATCCTTAGCTGTTTTTTATACATGCACAGAGCGGACTCTGCTCCAAAGCTAAGCTTATATCATCCAAATGCCTTCCTGGGGAATTCTTCCTTGACCGGAGAAGCTCGATGGCGGCATTAATTACAAATAAAAGACCAAGACCGATTGTTAAATGTAAAATATCTTCTTAGAAGTGTCTGCCTTCCCTTCTGCAGACTCTCCGTGGTGACATAAAGATCTTTGTTCCATCCAGATCCAGTTACAGCCAGTAACAGAAGGCATATGTCCACCCAGAACAAAAGAAGACTTATTTTCACATTCCGTGGCTGACGTTGAGTGATAACATTTTTGCATATCCTAAAAATTTTTATGCAGATGCTGTTTAAAGGCAAAATGGGCTTTCACAATAATCTCCTTTGTGAATGGAATTTACACTCTTGGCAACTGGTCCATTTTCAGTATGCCTGTCAAGTTCTGAAATATAACCTTTGACAGTGTGTGAGCAGAAACAAAACGAAGGTTGTTTCCCCTGTTCATGGTAACATTGTTTTGCCGTCTTTGCTTTTTCAGACTGAGGCTCATCCAACTTAAATAAAAATATGATGCAATTAATGTTTTATAAGCCAGTTACGAGGCTGGGGCTTTAAAGAAATAGTCAACTCTAATTTTTACCTGGGCAAGTTGCAGAGCTTTGTGTCTGCTGAAATCTGTGATGAATGGAGAGCAGATCACAGTGGGAAAATGTGCCAATGAATATATTTTCACATATTACTGGTCAGTTAAAATTTTTATAAATGCTCTATATGTCTTTAGAAAAATAGAGCAAAATTGAAAGCAAGGTGCTTTCTGAGTATGAGGTGAGGAATACACAGAAGATATGTTCTTTGCCTTGGAAAGAACTGTAAAATTACTTGTCTCCACATTGTCAAGGTAAATCATATATTGGGAAGATTTAGGCTGTGTCCCTATGTGACCTACAGAAATAATTGAAATAGGAAATATCAGCCTTTTGACATTTTTGAAAGGCTCTTTGACACTGGTAGCTGGTCAGAATGAAATGTTCTCCATTTTAATAAGTTAATTTGGTTCTAATAACCAAATTGCTTGTGCGTATGGATATAGCTTTATTAGCAATTCATTTTATCATGGATTGAAATTACCCACCAAACCCCAAGCCTACTCACTGCTACACTGCATTTATTTTGGTAGCAGCTATTTTCAATTGAGCTGACAGGCCTATAATTGATATGTTTTGCAAATCTTTGAAGACAACGAAGCAGAGAAATCTTTGCACAACCCTGTATAAGATGCTGTAGCTGTGTATCTTTAGTAAACAATGTTCTTTTTGACACGCTCATTGAAAAATGTTTTTATTAACTGCACTGAAGACCTTATGACGAAAATAATGACAATAAAAGCCCATTACTAACTGTTGTACTGTCATTTAAAGGATTGCTGTATTTTTCCTTTCTTCAACAGTACAAATTCAAGTGGAAGAAAAAGAAAGCGATACTGAGGAAAGTTCAAGTAAGTGGGAATGGACCTGCATGGAATGTGCTTCCTGTGGAATAGCAGTGGCTGCAGAAGACTTGTCCTTTTATCTTGTGGCATTATACTGCCACGTGTAAGCACAGGCCACCACATGTGTGGATGGTTTTTGATGGTCTCACAAAAGAGATCAAGTCCAGCAAATGGGATCTCCACTCTAGATTCCATTCGACTGGCACACACACGTTCTACCAAATGTGTAAGTTACTCATGACTCAATAGATGATAGTCCACAAAAATTTGCTTTTTTATCCCCATTTCTCCCTTTTTTTTAGTTTTGGAGAGAGAGAGAGAGACAGAGAGACAGAGAGAGTGTGCATGAATGGGGGAGAGGGGCAAAGAGAGAGAGAGAGAGAGAGAGAGAGAATCCGAAGCAGGCTCTGCACTCATCATGGAACTAGACAGGGGGCTCAATCCCATGATTCTGGGATCATGAGTTGAGCTGAAGTCAGGAGTCATATGCCCAACTGACTAACCCACCCTGGCGCCCCCAAAATTTCCTTTTTAAAATGTCTCTACTATTTTCCCTATTAAGGCATTTGTCATAAAAGCTCTTCTTTAGGGCTGAATCTATTACAATAGAACAGATTGGCCATTTAGACTGAATTGATCAGGTGGTTCAATTAAAATGAATAGGCACATTATTTTGTACTGAATTCATAGGTATTTCATCAGAATTGCTCCATTTTTAATCTCTGTAGTTTCTGCTCAAGAGTTTGGGTTGCAATTCCTTGCAAGCAGACTGCTCACGGACTGGAGTATGCGAAAGATCATTACATGAGCAAAAGCTCTGAATTTACTAAAACAAAAAAAGAAAGAACAGTATCTCAAGAAAAGTTCAATTTGAGGATATATCAGTACAATCAAGTTAATAACCTGAGTACAAAATGGCAGCCAGGGAATATTCACGATGCCAGGTGTTTTCAGTCAGTCTGTGCATTCTCTACACAAACAACTCAGAGTCTCACACAGACCCCACATGCCATGGCTTTAGTACTGTAAGGGAGGAAAAATAATTTTCCCTTTACCCCCCTTTAGTTTTTAGCTGAGACCCCTACAAGACAGTTTAACAAGAGAAAAAACAAACAGAGCTTTATTAACATGTATGCCTCATGTATACATGAGAGTTACTTGGGAAGAATGAGTAACTCTCTGAGGAGGCTTAGAATTTAGATTCAAATACCATCCTAATAAGGGGTGTGGGGGGGGGAATGTAGGCCTTTCAGGAGAGAATAAATAATTTTTAGGAAATATCTTAGAAAAAGATTGGAAGCTTGATAGTCTGTGACCAAGTTTGCCTGGGTGTGGCATTGACTCCTAGCATCTTCCCGTGTGGGAAGAGTCAATCTTTCCTAAGGGTGAAATTGTTGGTGTGGGGATTTCTACCAAATGAGTTCCTTTTGAAGGATCTGTGTTTGGGCCAATGAGGGGAGTTCAGAAAAGAAACAAAAACAAAAAACCTCTCGCTGAGTTTGCTGTTTTTCAAGCATCTGCAGCTCAAGATAATCAATATTACCAAAGGGGCATAGTTTGGAGTGCCATGTCCTTAGTCCTTGTTGTCAGACTTTGAGGCAGTATATTCTGCTCTGCTTCTGTACTGAATGGAGCCCCTTTCAAATGGAAAGACGGTATGTAAATCTGCAGTTAGTAGGCAACTGCAAAATATTGATTTTTTTTCTTACAATTTGAATATTTGGAAATGAGTCAAGGCACTAAACGCAGCCTGTTTGTTCCTACGTGGAGAAAAGAGCAATCCAATAAAACACTTTCGGTCCCTGGTAAAACTGCAAGTCTAATACTGTAGTCTTAATACAAAATATACTAACATGCAGGGTACTAAGTGGCTGCTTGCATTCTTGAGTTATTTGTGGGAAAATCGTTTCTCAGTCCCTATCAAGGTCTTGTCCTTTCTATAATTAGTGACTAATGTGACTAATAAAGACTGGGCAGATTTTCAGAATGTCAGAAGGGGATTCAAATAATATACAACATCTGCCACAAAGTTACCAAATGGAAAATCACTCTTGGTTTTGATGATAGTGTCTGGTTCTCAAAGCCTAGGTTGAAAAGTTGCCCACTTGTTTTTCTCTGCTAGCCAACCTTTAGTAATAAAGGTAATATTTAGGCCTCGGATGTGAAATAGAAATAATAAAAAAAGTTTGGGCAAGTAATGTTAAAAGATAATTTAAAAATAAATAAAATGATGATGCACACGCACATGTAAAAATGAACATATTTAACTAATCAATGGGGACCCTAGTGAGGGTCCAGTTCAAAGGAAAATTCAAAGAACAGATACCATTTATAGGTCAGGAATACTGCAATGATTTGCAGATGGAAGCATCACTGTTTTGTGGGAGTTTTTTCTTTTCTTTTTCTTTTTTTTCTGGTGAGGGAGGATTGTCTCTTCCCTGGACAGAGCTCATGCAGATGTCTATGGACAAGAATTAATTTGCATTGCTATGCAGTGATCTAGAACTTTCAAAAGTACAAAATCGTTCCCACGGAATCAGAATCAGATAACACCAAAGGTTACACTGCAGACAATTTATAGTTTTCCAATGAATACAATTTTTTCTTTATAGTACTTCTAATTAAGAGTATAATGATAACTATGAGGAATACTTGATTTTTTATTAACAGTTGAATCTAAATATCAGAAGTCAAGAGGTGACAAAAATGAACGAGAAGTAAGATTGTGTGTTATAAATTAGGAAGGAAGGAATTGGATTCTCTACTCTTTACTTGGAAGATTCCAGGGAAATTATGGACATATGAAGCATTAGTTGTTAGTTGATGAATAAAATAAAATTAAATTAAATTAAAATAAAATAAAATAAAGTAAAGTAAAGTGAAATGAAATGAAATGAAATAAAGTAAAGTAAAATAAAATAAAATGAAATAATGTCATTTCTCTCAGTTTTACATTAAATTTATAAGTTATCTATTCTTTTCATAGATAGTGTGATCAAGCAACAATTTACTTATAAATAAATATATTTAGTTTCAATTTCATTTAAGAAAGGGAAAACTATTTAGGAAACAGAAAAAAAATTGGAATCAAAATAAAGAGAATTTGAATTAAGGAAAATCTCAGGGACTGAATTAGTTTCTTCAAAGTTATTCTTGTTTGTTGCATTTCCTTGTACTTCCTGTCCTTTGTTGCAAAATAGAAGTAGTAGTAAACATATGGTGGTTAATCACTTAACCCTTATGTGTTATATCAGTAACCCCTCCACTTGGTCTTAGAGATCATGGTATGATATTGAACTCCAAGTCACCTAGTAACCCACATAAATGAAGACTGGAATTCAAAAGATTATTAAGATTTGGGGATCCACATTCACATATGTGAGTAGATGAACCACGAAAGGAATGAAAATCTAGATAAGTGTATTTGAATGACAAGCTACAGAATATATAAATGACACAGTGCATCTTCCTATGGTGTGGGGACTCGCTGAGTTAAGATCTCCCATGTGACAACGGTAAGCATACATTTGATGGTGGGAGAGGGCACTTTTTGATACTGTTCACTGGAACATTCACGGATGTGTTTAGGCGAAGAGGAAGAGGAGGAGGAAGATAAATTACCTCGAAGAGAGAGCTTGAGACCCAAGAGGAAACGGAAAAGAGATGTTATTAATGAGGATGACCCGGAACCTGAACCAGAGGATGAAGAAACAAGGAAGGCCAGAGAGAAGGAGAGAAGGAGGAGGCTGAAGAGGGGAGCGTAAGTTAGCTCTGATCTACAGCTGAAAGTCTTGTTCCTTCAAAAGTACCTGACTCTGAAAGAAGACCCCACCCCCACCACCCTTTAGGTACTCTGTGGCCTTAAAACTGGTAATTCAAAACTACTTTTAGAGAGAAAGGCTTGGGGCCCCTATGTGGCTCAGTCTGTTAAGTGACTGACTCTTGGTTTCGGCTGATGTCATGATCTTGCGTTTCCATGAGTTCGAGCCCCACGTCTGGCTCTGTGCTGGCATGGAGTCTGCTTGGGATTCTTCTTTCTCTCTCTCTCTCTCTCTCTCTCTCTCCCACTTTCTCTCTCTCTCTGCCCCTCCCCACTCATGCTGCCTCTGTCTCTCTCAAATATAAATAAATATACTTAAAAAAAAAAAGACAGGCTTAATCTGATGCTGCCAGTTTTTACTCCACTAGTTAAATGTATTTTAAAATTTAAATAGAGTTTAAAAATGGATATATGTATTAAGAAGGGGCTGAGAGAAATTTCCTTAGGAGACAGCTAAATTGTCATAGGTTACGAATATAGTTCATTTAATATTTTGAAGTTATCCCATTAATGATATGCATTATTATCAAAGGTAAGTGGAAAATTCCCAATCGACGAGCCCAAATCACTTTCTCTTACAGAGCAGGGGTTGACAAAATATGGCTAATTCCAGCTCCAGACCTAAGAGTGGTTCTTACAGTTTTAAAAGGTTGCTGATTAACAAACAAAACCAGAGGTGAATATGGGACAGAGCTGTACATAGCCCTCAAAGCCTAAAATATTAAGCACCTGTTCTTTTACAGAAAAAAGAAAGTGTGTGTGCTGGCCCAGGTGACAGAGCATTGGGGTCGTCATTTCCTTTTCCACACAACCCTGCATCTATAATGCTATAATGTTCGCCACCAGGCGAACATTTTCCTGAGAACTGACTTTATATAGAATAGTTTGTTAAGTGTTATTTAGGAAAAATCCAAGAAAATGGTTTTCGAGTCTGGAAGTGGTTTGCTTTCTGGAAATTTGCAGATGGCAGGCTGGTAGGAAAAGTGTGCATTCGACACACATCTAATAATAGAAAACCCTGACCCCTTGGAACGGCTTTAAGAGAACAGCTCCTCTGTCCATCCCAGGGGGGAGGGCCTTGGGAACCACCACAAGATGATACGATTTCCTCCAAAACACTCCTAGGACTTTAGATGAAGAGGAATTTTCTAAGAAGTCTTCCCCAAATGACACATTCCTGTGTCCAACAACTGTCTATTTCTTTCCTTTTCATAAGTAATTGAAACGAAATACAATTGTGTGAACACTTTGGCAGGTAAAGAAGCTTGGCACTGATAGCTGATGGTTTCTTTTAAAATGCAAGAATAGGGGCACCTGGGTTGGGCTCAGTCGGTTGGGCTTCCGACTTTGGCTCAGGTCATGATCTCATGGTTCGTGGGTTCGAGTCCCGCGTCTGGGTCTGTGCTGACAGCCAGCTCAGAGCCTGGAGCCTGTTTCGGATTGTGTCTCCCTCTCTCTCTGATCCCCCCGCCCCCCGACGCTGCCTCTCTCTCTCTCTCTATCTCTCAGAAATAAATAAAACATTAAAAAATAAATAAATAAATAAAATGCAAGAATAACCCCAACTACTTCATCATATTTTTGCTGATTTCAGTTTTTAAATCTCCCTCCCCCTCTTCCATTTTCTTCTCCTCCCCAAACTCCTTTCTTCCGCCTTTGAATACCCAGACATCACCTTTTTTAAAACATTTTGCCTCTGGTATTCTTTTTTCTATTTTTATGCTTTTTACTTTTAAAAGCAAACAAATCTCATAATGTTTTTAATTAAAATTTTTAAAACTGTTTATTTATTTATTTTGAGAGAGAGAGGGAGGGAGAATGCTCACAAGCATGTGAAGGGCAGAGAGAAGAGAATCCCAAGCAGGTTCCATGCTGTCAGCAGGCGATCATGACCTGAGCCGAAATCAAGACTCGGTCACTTAACCGCATGAGCCACCTCATCTCACACTTTTTAGCTCTTGGTCTGATTGTCCTCACTATTATGATGTAGTAATATTTCCTATCAGCAAAGCATGCGCTTTCTGACAGGGAGATTCCAACAATAGATGCATGCACGATATAGGCTGTGTTCCAGAATTTGCTTTCCTTCTCCACATGTGCCTCAGAGAGGTCCTTTCAAAAAGGTGAATTAGGGGCTGGGAGCAGCACACCTGGGTGGTTGTCAGTTAAGTGTCCAACTTTGGCTCAGGTCATGATCTTGCGGTTCATGAGTTTGAGCCCCATGTTGGGCTCAGAGCCTGCTTGGGATTCTTTCTCTCTCTGCACCCTCCCGCTGCCCCCCCCCTCCCAAAAATAAATGGACGTTCAAAAAAAAGAAAAAAAAGAAAAAAGAAAAGGAAAATTTCTGTGCTCTCTTGGTCTGCTTAAGGCCCGCACGTTAACTGGCCATCCTCTAGAAGTCGGACCATATGAATCAGCTGGGTCTTGGCCCCTATTGCCTGAAGGAAAGTTGTCCGTTCCTGTGAAAGTGTCTGTCGTTATCTGGTACCAGTCTCATCCTGACTTTGAGAAGCCCAGGGGCAGCTCTGCCCCCTTCCTCCTCACTCCTCCACACAGCCAAACCTGGCTAGAGTGAGCTTTGTCTCAAAGGTTTTTCAAATTATATGATTACTGCCAAAATTTGGGCAACTCATCTAAATAGTATCATAAATTATTTGTGGTGATTGATGGCTCCAGTACCAATATGAAGGTTCATTTTCTATTGTTCGTTTTGAAGATAAGCGTTTTTTTAAATAAAGAAAACGTATTAGTAAATATGTGGTGAGAAAGATTTGTAGGCAAATCAGGGCGTGTTTATTTAGATTAACTGATTTATGGTCTTTTTAAATGTAAAAGTTCAAGTGAATCACCTTAGGGAATTTCCCCTGCGCTGACAAAGCATTTGAAGCCAACTAAAATCAAGGTTGCTACGCTAACTATCTTTGGAGACAGTTAAAAAACGCTGCCTCGTTAGACATTTTGGAGGATTTCTAATAATATGACAGGCTTTTCCTGACCCAGTTTTAAGTGAATAAGAAATATGTTCAGAGCGGTGAGAAATTCAGCACATTATGCCTTCCCTCCCCCCCACCAACAAATGTTGTTTAAATAAATCAAACTTAAGATAGAAAGCCATTCTTACACAGATTAGCCCTACATTTTAGAAGATGAAGCATGTCTTTACAATAGTCTTTTAATATGATTAGCACTTTCTTGGAGTGGTTCTTAGGAAAGCAGTTCCCAGCATATAAATGCTGGTGAAAGTAATATTATAATTACCTGCCTGTTTGAAGATGACTTATTAAAGAACCATACCTGGTAGCACACCATGATCCTTCTGGAGCAATCAACAATTAACAACAAAGACTTTAAAAATACACCAGCCTGGGGTTATTTAGTGTAAGAATTTATTCCTATCTTTCAGTACCATACTAATCTTGGAAGACATTGTTCTATTTTAGTGGAATTTGAGCAGTGGATTTATGATGATAGCCCTGTCATCCAGAAAAATTCGGTACATAAACATTTATTTAATTAATATTTATCCAGCTCTGCTGTTGTGGAAGCTAATTTGCTAATTACTTTCGAAAGCCTGGATATGAATATGCAATTGACTGTACTCTCCAGACGTTCATAATAGAGTAAGGGAGGGGCTACTTAGACACGAATTATTGTCAAGTAAGACAGTATAAATGTGTCTGAGAAGAAGAACAAAGTTGTTTGGAGTATTTGAGAGGACAAAACTATTTATTACATGGGATAATATATATGGATAACCAGAAAAGGGTTTTTGAAGAGATGTCTCATAATTTCTTAAGGAATCACTGAATTTGAATGCATACAGTACTCGAGTTGAGATACCAGGAAAGGATAGAATTAGTGTCAGGAAGATTTCCATTAAGAGATTGCTAAAATTGGCATGTAAAGAAATAAGCTTTAGTTATGTGGTAAATCCACATAGCTAATAGACCATTTTTTAAAATTCTTTGATGACACAGTATTGAGATACTGTTTCATATATGATTCTTTTTTTTTAATTTTTTTTTTATTTCTGAGAGAGAGAGAGAGACAGCGTGAGCAGGGAAGGGTCAGAGAGAGAGGGAGATACAGAATCTGAAACAGGCTCCAGGCTCTGAGCTACCTGTCAGCGCAGAGCCCGACGCGGGGCTCGAACCCGCAAACCGTGAGATCATGACCTGAGCTGAAGTCAGATGCTTAACTGACTGAGCCACCCAGGAGCCCCTGTTTCATATATGATTCTTAATGGGAATCCACTAACGTAAAGCCTTAAGGTACCTACATGTAGAGACAGTTGACCCTTGAACAACATGGTTTTGAATTGCGTGGACTTTTTTCCTTTCTTAAAAAAAGATGTTAATTCCAGTTTAAGTCCACCCCCCTTCCCTCCCCCCACCCCCCAGCAAGCAGAAGGAATCCCAAGTCCATTCTCAGTATCTCCTATTGACAGCTCACCACTGAGCCAGTTGACACAGCAGAAATGTGCCCTACGGAGCCCCAGCCCCAGCTTCACAATATGAAGGACAGAAGGGAATCCGAAGTTGAGGGACAATAACTCAATAAATAAAACTATCTATTACTAAAAAAAAAAAAAATCTGTCTTTACAAAATAGGGCATTGCATTCCTCAATTTAAAATCCTGTTGCTCCTGTTTAGATTGTGATTTGTTTTGTTAATTCTGGACCCTATGGTATTTTTGCAATCCGAGAAACACAGAAGAGACAAGATACATCTCATTTGCTGAGAAGTGAGAAGCCAAATTCCTTTGAAGTTCTCTTCAAAGGATTCGCTTCTACGAAATATACTTCAAGTTGAATTTTATCAACTGAAGTTTTGAATTTAATTAACAGTTTAAGGTACCTTCAAGAAATAGATTTTTTATTTTTTCCTATTTCAAGTTTTCTCTTTCTCTTGAGTCTTGCCTCACAAATTTGTAAGGACATTTCAAAGACATCTTCGTCTCTCACTTACTATCCTTATTGAAATGTAACCTTCTTCAATGAAATGTCGAATTGGTTGGAAGAGAGGGTACAAGGAAACAAAGTAGAGAGGAAGATAGATCTGTCACTAATATTCCACAGCCTTTTAGTCCTGAGAGTTTGAGGCTGTGGATGTAAAACTTTTAGGACTTCAGAACATAAACACTATTGTTTTGAAGTTACATGAATTCCAGAATTCCTGCATCAGTGTTCAGATACGAGCTCTAAAGTTTATAGATTTCAGCATCTTCTATGTATGACCAAGTTGATATCCATTGACTGAGTGTCCGAGACCATTCTTCTTTAAGCTTGGTAGTCAAGCAAAACTTAACCTTATTAAGCTTTCTTTCTTGTCATTCTTTTAAAGGGAAGAAGAAGAAGAAATTGATGAGGAGGAACTGGAAAGACTGAAGGCAGAGTTAGATGAGAAAAGACAAATGATTGCTACTGTCAAATGCAAGCCTTGGAAAATGGAGAAGAAAATTGAAGTTCTCAAGTATGATGCCTCTTTTCAGAATTAGAAACGCTTTCCCTGATTATTGATTTCCTAAAAACCTCTGAGTATTACCTATATTTTGTACATAGTGCTATACATATCATATATATAAAATACTCATTATTGTATATAATGTTCTTGGTCATATACAACATATTATGTGTTGCATGTCATGTGTATGAACACATATATCATATACGTGGACATATATGCATATATATGTGTATATTTCATCATTAGAGAGGCTGAGTTAATGATTATAAATTTTTAAAAATTCTTAGCAAATTCATTGTTTGGAGTCATAACTTCTGGTCACTTTTAGTCATTTGTTCCTTGAACTGAGAATTTCTTTAGTTTAATGCATTCATTACTATCTCTCTGAAAGAGAGAATATATTTGAATTTTACAAGTTTGTGTGGCTCGCACATTCTTGTTCCTCTGCAGGGTCCCAGCCTCAGATGATATAATCATGTGACAGCTCTCTTCAAAGCACGGGGAAGATATTAAGCCAACAGAACAGTAAATAGGAATCCAATTAAGGATTATGCTAATAGCTATTCCATGGTGACATGGCAGTGACCCAGTTTCACTCTTACGTTGACTGTTGATGGGGGCAACAAACAGGCTCAGAGGCACATGGATTTACAAACTTCCTATATGAAAAGGCAAATGACTGTCCCTTTCTGGGGGCTGGAAACAGCTTCATGTCTGATCACTTCTGAGGATCACACCATATTTCCTTGCCAAGTTTGTTGGGGAGACGAGGCATGAACAAAAGGGAATGTGTCTGTGACAACAGCCACGTGTGCATCTTTCACTTGGGCTGCCGATCGCATTTTCCCACAGAACCATTTTTGTAAGTAGTGGTAAATTTCCAAAGCTGTCTCCCCACAAGCCTATTTGACAAGTAACGTTCAATAGTATAGACAAGTATTATTGTCTTTGGTGATGAAAGAAAGAATTGAAGTAGCTATCGGGATAATTCTCTTCTAATCTTAGCTTTGTAAACGAGTATGTGTTATTTAAGGACATGGTTTAAACTTCTGGGGCCTCATATCCAAAATAAAACAAGATGTTCTAGATCTATTCTGTGACGTGGGAACCTAGCCATCGTTTACGATGGCATTGTTTTGTTTGCGGAGTAAAGTCTTCCACGTTCCAAACAATGGTCTTCCCAGCAAACTTCTATAACAACGCATGGTTGTAGGCTGGGAACTCTATACGGGTGTCCACACCAGCCCTGAATGAAGGCAAAGGCAAGCGGGGTCCCTGGTTTCATGGAGCTAGTAACACGTGTGTGCACATACGTATTCAATGCCGTGATAATGATGCTAACTGAGAGGTTTAAAAATATCCTTACTTGGCAAAATAGGAGTTTGGCAACCACTTTACATTGCTTCCAAAATATATTTTGAAGTATGATTGGCCATAAAATGCCCCAAACTGGAAACCACAGGTAACTGTACGTAGAAAGTCGTAACATTGGAAAGAGTCCTATTGTGAACTTTCAAAGCAAGGTGTGAAATTGAATAAGAATGCCGAAGAGTGTGTCCTCCCTTTCCACCTGCAGAAGGTGTAGAAATACCCCCACCCTCCCTTGACTGTCTCTCCCGTGCAGGGAAGTGGAGTAGAAACGGGCTTCTGATTTGAGTTTGAATGTCAGACCTTCACTTAATAGCTGTGCAAATCTGAATGAATTGTTTAGCTCTCTGACGTTCAGGTTCCTTATGAAATTATGCTAATTTCCCGGGCTAGTGGAATCATAAAGCGAGATAATTTACATAAAACACTTAGCACGGTGCCAGAACATAGCACGTAGCTGGGAAGCGCAAGTTGTAATTATTATTTCATCTCAGGACAGAGTCAGGATTGCCTGGTTCCCTGCAGCATGACAAGAGGGATGGAGAGAGCATGAGACAGGGCAGGGCTAGCCTAGCCAGGGATAACCTTAGGATCCTTGGGGGACAGTGACACATTGGTAGCAGTCTAGATGGGCAACTGATTTTGACATTCCATCAAAGAATACAAAATCTTGACAAGTTGGCAGATCCAGGGCAAGGCCACTTTCAGCTCTTCCAAAGGCACCCAAGGTAATCCTGGGGCAGATTCCAGGACCTGGGGCCTTGAGCTGAGTCCAGGAATTAAAATTCCCATTTTGAGAAGTGGGAGAGATGGCGATCGGGCAAAAATAGCGCCTGGGGCTCAGTGATAGTTGCACCTATGAACAGGGTATTCAGTCTTCAGTGCGCACCGTTCTCAATCCTCATCGCTTGTTCATGCTGCTTGGTTAAACCTTGTATGCATTCCCATCTGCTGCCTCTTACCCATGCAGCTAGGGAGCAAGTTAGGCAAGTTACCAAGACAGTGATTCAGAACGCCAAATTCAAAGCCAGCTTGCAGAATGGAGGCACAGATTTAGGCCCAGAGAAGAAACAGCTCTGGCTTCCCACCTGTCAGTAATGCTCTCTGTCTTGCGATGATTCTCCATGACCAGAAGTCAGTCCTGCTTGGTAGCTTTGCGATGCTCTGTACAGCTGGTGACAACGGTCACGGTCAGCCTGATTCTCTTGGTTTCAGCCTCTGGGATGAAGCTGTTGGCGCCACAGTGCCCAGCCTTCTCCCTTTGTGAGTTTTGGATGATGTATTGAGTTTCTCCCCCGTGGATCTCAATGACATTAATTAGAGCAAGTGGTCAATACTTGATAGTATTGGTTTCTCTACCCCAATGCCACTAAAACATGGCGATCAGTGAGCTTTTCTCACACCCTTTCTTTCAGGGGTTTCTAACTCTGAGAGAGCATTTCTGAGGGTTGTGTTATTCCCAGAATTTGCCTCCAGTCATCAATCCTTGTTAACTACATGGAATCCAAGGCACTAGTCTCAATATAACTGGATCAGATATTTTGATCACAGGTTTGGATCTGTGTTGGGGTTCCAAGGCTTTCCATCTGGCTCTGGACTCTGAAAAGCTTGTGAAACTCCTAAAACAGATTTTATAGAAGGTCAGACTTTCAAGATGTGTTTTAGAGTAAAGCTTCAGGAATGGTAGCTTACTGTTCTGAGGATGCTGTGGAGGGGCTGGGGGAAGTTCCCACATTACCACTAGCAAGGTGAAACATCCTCAGAGCTGAGGACCAAACAACAGCTAAAAGAAGCAGTTAATACACAGGCAAGAAGCTCTAAAAACGGGTTGTTAATCCCTAAGGCCTCTCAAACATGGCTCAGGAATTGGAGCTCAGCATTTTCAAGGCAACAGTATTGGCTTTTTAGGAATGAAGACACATCACATCCTTTCCACTGTGGAGCAGTGTCTTTCAATGTGGTTTCAATGTGTTTCACACTTTCATGTAGCCTCAAACCTATCCAATAATAATATCCAGGTGGAGGAGACAGGTGTGTCTGGCCCAGACGAGGGTATGTATATTTTAATTTTCTACTATAAATGTCAAGGATTGAGGGCCACTGTCTTTCAATTCTGGGAAACAGAAAACTTCATTAAGTAGAACATCTTACTCTAAACTGTTTATTGAATGGGTGAGAATATGTTGGCCGACAGGGGAAAAGGAAATAGTGGTGTATTTTTCAATTATTTGAAAGTCAGTTCCATTCTTATCAGTAGTTAACTAAAAACATAGGATTTTGGGCATAATCTATTTTGAAGGCATTAATGGGTTTCACTTAGAAGTTGGTTAACTAGATCTTTCCTCCCTGTGATAGGTGGCTGCACTAACCTGGGAGCAACAATCACAGGTGAAATAAAACACCTGGGTGGAAAATAACCATCTACTTATTACTCTCCTTAAACCTAAAACCTAACTACCAGAACTTTCTACATGGTAGATTTAAAGCTTGTATGACCAATCCTAATGAAGCCATTGCTTTATTTTGTTATAGTAGGATAGTTTTGGGATTGAAAATTAAGAGACGTGGACTCCGGGCTAAGCTCTACCTCTAACTTCACCTCTCTGAGTCTCATGTATTTGTTTATCAAATGAAGGGATTGGATTGTGGCCCATGATTTTCAAACTGATGTCTCCGAGTTAAGCTGGTTTGGTGAAATCCCTTCAGGGCCCGGGATGCAGAGGTAAGAAGAGAGGCTGCTTGGCCAACACCACCAGCTTTGAGCAGACACTGATGGTTTCTTTCTTCTTCAGAATGTTTAAAACACCCATGTGGAATGCTTCTGTGCTTACTAACACAAGAAATAATCAAAACCCCTCACTTAGCTGGATATTTAAAGAAGCTTATTTGGGGGGCGGGGAGCAGTTCTAACATTTCATGAGTCTACCACGTAAGACATGGGACTACTCCAATATACTTTCTCATGGCAATGGCTCTTGGGTAGAAGCCATTTCAAATGTACTTATTTTGATAACAAAGATGTTTATTTAGGTCTTATGCTGACTATTTTAATTCCTTAGCTTAGTAGCACCCTACTCCAGTGTTTCTGGGAATTGCCCATCAGTCGACTTGGCCCAGTGATTTATTAATGAAACATTCAGGAAAGCCAAGAAAGTAATTCTTATGATCTCATTTACATTTAAACATGTGCTTGAAACTGGCAGCTAGTCACTAAGGTAACATTCTTCCTTATTCAATCTTCCTTCATAATCGTAGATTCTTTTTTGTTTGTATTCGTTTTGATTTTATTGTTTTTTTGGTTGAGGGAACTAATATATTTCTAGGGCAGTAAGAATCAACTGGAGTTGATTTTCTCTGCGGGAGCCATCTGGGAAAACTAGCCCCCTGGCTCCCATCCCTTTCTCTCAAGTTTCCTTGGAGCTGGAGATTTTTATAGGCAAGAATCATGATTTCTCCTTCAGTTCACTAAGGCCTTTCCTTCATCTGTTATTGTGAAGGAATGAGGGATTCCACACAAGAAGACCTTTAATCAAGTGTACACACCTACTGACATACCCTTCAGCCATTTGGGATTCTTTTAAACCAATAGCTCAACTACAGCATCCGGCTTTCAGTTCTTGTACGTTACAAGTACCTGT